GAGAGAGAGAGAGAGAGAGAGAGAGAGAGAGAGAGAGAGACTGGGGACTCTAACTTGTGACCTATTTGCAAAACCCAAGACCATATCCTTCTTCCTAGGGCAAGTTCATCCGCAGGACCTTGGCCATGCCCACAGGACCCTCAAGAGGTTTTCCGATGTGCGGTCCATGGGGCAGAGTTCTGGAGTGAGTACCGGATCAATGTGACTGAGGTGAACCCACTGGGTGCCAGCACGTGCCTCCTGGATGTGAGATTACAGAGCATCTGTGAGTACTCCACCCTCTAGGTCTCCTACCAGACTCCCATCACAGAGACTCTAAATATAGAGACTTACACCCTGCTTGCCCCAACTTCCAACTGGTCCTCTTCTTTTCATACATAAAGACCAAGTAGTAACACGGATGGGTCCTATACACACTCCAGAGCAGTGGTTCTCAACCCGTGGGTCGTGACTCAGTTGAGGGGGGTCGTATATCAGATATCCTGCATACTAGATATTTAATTATGATTCATAGCATAGCAAAATTACAGTTATGAAGTAGGAATGAAAGTAATTTTATGTTTGGGGTCACCACAGCATGAGGAACTGTATTAAAGGGTCCCAGCATTGGGAAGGTTGAGAACCATTAGTCTAGAGGCTGCTACCTCTACCTACAAGTCCTTCTTGGCTGTCTAGATGACTCCTGCTTCTAGGCCCTATGCTGAAGGCAGCCCAGTCTCATGCACTTCCTGCCCAGGGGAAAGGCTTGCTGGTCCCTTTTTCTTCTTGATCTGAGTGTGGGAGGGGAGAAGGCAATAAAACTTAGGTTGTAATTTGAGCCAATGAATCTTCTGTGGATGGAGAGAAGAATCCTTTTATCACTCAAACTTATCAAAATTCTGCGTTGGATTGCTGCTTATTTTATAACAAGGATGACAGACAGGTCCTGAGGCTAAATGAGTGATGAATTTGACATTTTCCCTCCCTTCTGGGAGTAGCTTTCCACATACCGAGCACCAGGCACTGTGTGCACACCTCACACAGCATGCACACTGCACACACTGTGGGAAGTGGTGAGGAAGGGATGAGTACTTGTGGCTAACCCTGAACTTTGTGTCTGACTACTCGTAGTGCGTCCGGATCCACCCCAGGGACTGCGGGTGGAATCAGTACCTGGTTACCCGAGACGCCTGCATGCCAGCTGGACATACCCTGCCTCCTGGCGCCGGCAGCCCTACTTCCTGCTCAAGTTCCGGTTACAGTACCGTCCAGTGCGGCATCCAGCCTGGTCCATGGTGAGGTCTACAGTGTGTCTCAATCTTGGTCTTCTGGTTTTAAAGAACTTGAATATTCTGCATAGCTTCCAGGCATTGGCAGGGCTCAGAAGACCTGTCTTCCCCCCTATATAGTGTTCCCAGGTGTTGAGCTGAGTGCTGGAGTTGCAGCTGGCAGGACAGAATTTCTGTCCTGGGTAGCCAGCTATAATGCAAGCCTGTCTGGGAAGACAGAAATGGCTTTAGAAAATCACTGATAGACACTGGGAAAATGGCTCAGTGTGTAAAACAATTGCTGTGCAAGCATCAGGACCTGAGTTTGAATTCTCAGAATCCACATAAAGCCTGGTGAGGCAGTGTAGTTTGTAGCCTGAGTGCTCCCATGGCAAAGACAGGAGAATCCCAGGAAGTTCATGGGCAGGCCAGCCAACCTGGCTATGCAGCTGAGAATGGCAGCCTGTTTCAAACAATATAGAAGAGTTTGTCCTCTGACAGTCACATGCATGCTGTGTGCATGCACGTTTGCAGACATACACACACACACACACACACACACACACACACACACACACACACACACACCAGATAATAACTTCTAGGAAAGGGGGTATCTTTTACCCAGAGGACCTTCCTCGTTTACACTCCTATGTCTAGCTGAAAATGGTGAATTTCCACACACAGAAATGTCAAAGATAGGTTGGCATCTGTCCTGGGAAGCAGCCCCACTTGTTCATAATCTTCATTCAGAGCAGTCTGCCTGCAGGTACCTTGCTACACATTTCACATATGTTATCTCTGTTAGGTATATTTACCCCTATTTACAAATGGAACTGAGACACAGAGAGGCTCAAAAGTCCACTCAGCAAGTGACTTAACAAAGTTTTGAACATAGACTGACACAATAGTCCCTCTAAGTAACTACTACAGGCTTCCATTTTCCAAATCCCAGACATAGATTCTGTTCCATCAGGCACCCAACATGGGACCTAGACCCACTACCAGGTTGATAAAGGGGTACTCTTTTCTGGCGGGGGCTGGGCAGGTTCTCTACTTAGAACTTGGGCCACACCCTGAGGAACCATTTTTACCTCCAGGTCGAACCAATTGGCTTGGAAGAAGTGATAACAGATGCTGTGGCTGGGCTGCCCCATGTGGTACGAGTCAGTGCCAGGGACTTCCTGGATGCTGGCACCTGGAGTGCCTGGAGCCCAGAGGCCTGGGGTACTCCTAGTACTGGTGAGAGACAAAGACAAAGGGCAGAGCCCTTATCCCAAAGTAACTATCGGCTAGACGGTTTTACACATCCCCTTGTTAGGGCCCTTCAGGTACTGTTATTGCTGTCCTACACTATAGCCTTGGTGACCTGCAGCCCTACCCTAACTTTAGCCCTGAGTCTCTACTTCTGTACTTATAGACTATATGTCTGCAAGTCTACAAGCCAGACCCCTAGAAACTGGCCTCACCCTTTGAAACGGCCTCTTATGCCCCCACCTCAAACAGGTTCTAGTCCTGCCCCTGCCTTAGAAAGACAGAAGCTTCTATGAACACTTCTCAGGTTTCATCTTCCTTCAGGCCCCCTGCAGAATGAGATAGCTGATGACAGCCAGGTACACAAAGAGCAGCAAGAGGCAGTAGCTCAGGAGGATGGTCCCACTCCTCCAAGGCCTTCCTTGCAGTCAGACCCAAGACCACTTGGTAAGTTTGGGCCCATTGATAAAGATGTGTGGAGGATGAAAGTCCGAGAGGGAAGGTATCACCAAGCATGGCTAACATTGCTCTCCCAGTGACACATGGCCTTCTCCCTCAGATCACAAAGACCCCTTGGAGCAAGTGGCTGTGTTAGCATCTTTGGGAATCTTCTCTTTTCTTGGCCTGGCTGTTGGAGCCCTGGCACTGGGGCTCTGGTGAGTGCCACTGGTCGCTTAGCTGTAACCCCCAACAGCTGCTTTGATGCCCAGAGACCACATCCATTCCCATCTGCAAGGCCTCCTGTTGATGGCCTGCTGAACCTGCTTGATTTTGGAACCATTTCTCCCCACCTGACTGTCCTCTCCCTCGTTATTTTCACTAATTCCTCACCCCTTGCTACTCCTCCTCTTGGAGGAGACATGGTGTTGGAGAGACAAATGCCCTTTTATGCTTCAGGCTGAGGCTGAGACGGGGTGGCAAGGATGGACCTCAAAAACCTGGGTTCTTGGCACCAATGATTCCAGTGGACAAGCTTCCAGGTGAGTAGCATTTAATGATGTATGTATGCCCGCCCCCACTTAACCTGATGTCCTAGGGATTTTATGGTTACTGGCAATCCCTGGAGTTGGGGCTCCTCATTTTTATATCTAGGCGAGGGGATGAGGGGTAGACCTTTTGTTGTTGAGTGTCTGGTCTTAGAAATGGGTCTCTTTTCCTCCTGAGTATTGAGAATTCTAGGTAACTCCCTTCACTTTCAAGGTGTGAGAACTGGCTATCTCCCCTTCCCATGTTAAATGTCTTGGATAGATGTTTGCTCCTCTGATTTGAAAAATTAAATTTTACTATTACTGTGTGTTATATGTGTGTGTATGCTATGTGTGTGTAGGCACATATGTGCCATGGCATGTTTGGAGGTCAGAGGACAACTTTGTGGCATTCTCTCCTTCCACCTTTACGTGGGTTCCAGGTATTGAACTCAAACCATTGAGCTTCCTTGCTTGCTTGGCACATGCTTTACTCACTGAGCACCTTGCCCCCCCCCTCCTAGGCCAAGAGCTGTGTCTACTCCTTATCTTTAGGGTGTTAGGGCTCCCTCAGAAGTGGGCCCCTCTGTTTCTCCTCGGAGTGTTTGGTTTGGGAATGTCCCCCTTTTATTCTCAGGATGTCTGGACCCAGTCCTACTGTCTGTTGATCTGCTCCCTGCTCCTCTAGGCATTCCAAACCTGCAGAAGACCCAGGAGGACTTCAGCTGATTCCACCTGTAACCCTGTCAGGCTGGGTGGCTAAATGGACAGACAGAAAGGCATAGGGCAGTGGATCCCTATGGATGGAAGTCTCAGTTGGAAGTTTGAAGCCTTTTTCTTTGAGCCCCTATATTCCAGAATTGGCTGCCAGCTGAATGCTGTCTGGACTTTTGATGTCATCCTTGAGGTGGAAGTCCACCTGAGGAATGTGTATAGATTTGCATGTCTGTGTCCATCTGTGACTGTGTGTGTGAGATAGGGAACATACATTCTCTGTATGTGTGTATATAGATGCTTGGAGAGTGTGTGCAGACTGTGGCCTTGGCCTTTGTGGGGACTGTTAAGAGTTGAAATAAAGAGACTGAAGAAGTTTTTGGAGATTATTGTCTAATGTTATTTTATTAGTTTTGTTGTTGGGGGCTCGAGTACATTTTCATTTGTAGTTCCAGATTTAAGTTGGATATAGTCTCCTGGAGCCTTTTCCTATGGCGCTCAAACCACCGAGCCAGGCTGCGGTTCTGAGGATGAACACAAACACTTCGCTGAGCCAGGTGAAGCCTGGGAAGGGAAAAGTCCAAAGCTATGCTTATATTTGAGGGATGAGCTTAGAGGTAGGGTTCAAGGGTTAGGGGCAAAAGCCAGATGAAAACTTGAGTAGGCATCAGAATTAGTATTGGGGTTGGGATTGAGATCAAAGTCAGAGTTAGAGGTGTCAAGGGTGGGGGCAGAGCTCACACAATAGCCTGAAGGTGACAGTCCCCATCAGCCTCCTGCATTTGCACATGGGTGATCTTCCTCAGTAGCTTGTTTGGGAGTGGTTGTCTATAGAGCTGGGTACAGCAGGTAGTGCTGGAAGGCAGTGGCAAGGCTGTAGAACAATAGGGTCATGTCTTCAGAAAGGCCTAGACACACAGCTGCTCTATTAGATAGCTGGGAGTTGAACTTCTGGGCCCCATCTCTTCTAGTCTATTTACCCATCATTCTATACCCTCCGAGAACTTACCTGCTCCAGGGTCTGGGCTCAGAAGCAACAATATCAACAGGAGGCTGCTGGTGGGTGAGAGCCCCTCCATGCCGCTCAGCCTAGACACTTCTTTCTCCTCCTCTCCCTACCTTTTATCTAGTTGCATTTTGCCTTGGGCATTAGGTGAGTCAGGCACAGGTGGCAAATACCTTGCTTATCTTGTGATACTAAGCTCTAACTCTTGGCCTGCTACCACTGACCCCATCCCTTCCCCTTCCCAGGACTGCCATTTCCCATGGGCTCCTAAGCCGTGAACAGAGAACACTAAAGAGAGGTAGGGAATGATGTAGGGGCTGATATTACAGCAGTTTAGGACAGCCACGATCCACTGGGGCATCTACTAATAGGCATTTACACTCATACTCATAGCCACACATTCATAAGTCATACGTTGGTCACGTAACCTCCTGAAGTCACACCCATGACTGTATAATGATAGACAAAATCATATAGTTCCAGTTATACCCAAAAGTCCCACTGCAATAATTTGCATTTCCAAGTCATGCCTCTGTACTATATCATACTACATACATACATATTCTGACAGAAGAGTCTGAGTGGGTAGGAACAGAAGGCAGGCCAGCACTAATCTGCCTTCATCTTTTCCTCCCTATTCCCTGTCCTGGCCTGCCTATTTTATCAGGAGAATCTGATGGGACTGGGTACTCAAAGCAGACTCTTCTTGGCTAAGGGGGAGATTTCCATCATGAAGAGGAGGGAATGTGAGGTGGATGAGAAGGAGAAAGAAAAGTTCTTTGATGCCGGATTGCTGGTGTTAAAACAGTGAAAGCGGGTAGGGTATTGTGGCATGTGTCTTTATTTCCAGCACTTGGGAGGCAGAAGCACGTCAATCTCTATGAGTTTGAGGCTAGCCTGGTCTACATAGTGAGACTCTGTCTCAACAACAAACACACAAAACTCCCAGAAGATGATAAAGCCCTTCTCCCAAATCTTACCTTCTTGCTTCTGCTTAGTCTTGTTCCACGGTTGCCAGCTTGTCAGTGGGAGCCTGGTGGTTTCCAGACTTAGTTTCTGGCTTGTTGGAGACATCAGACTCAAGAGCTAAGTTAGGTCTCTTATGATTCAAATTCTATCCTCTTTACACTCTTGAGGAACATACCCCTCCCAACCCACGTTCAGAAATACCCACTTTCCCAGACTCTGAACACCCTGTTCTACTTTCCCTCCCTTCTCTTCCATGCAAAATCCCTAATTCTCTTCAGTCAGTTCTTTCTGGAAAGCTGTAAACTGCTGGGGGTGGGGCATGCTTGTTGGGTTAATTAATGGCCTAGACTCCTAATCTGGGGACTTTCTCAAGTCCTATTCTGGATTTGAAATATAAACTGAGCCATAACCCAAGAATCCATCCCTTCTCTGTATGTTGCATTTTCCCCAGAGGCCAGCCATCCTCTGTAGGTAGAGCTCTTGGGATAGGACTGCCACTTTATCTGAGCAGCTTGTTCTGTTATAGCTAGGCTGAGAATCTAAGCCTCGTTTCTTCCTGTCAGGGTGAGACCCAAAGGCCCTTCTGGACATTGTCTCAGAGGTCATGTGACTGTCTGGGAAGATGTGGGCCCCGGGTAGACAAAGCTTTTGAAGGGGTTTTTGATATACACACTGTGAGGAAATGGCTAAAAG